TTCCAAAACATTACTGTTAACCTCTTTCCTTAAGAGGTTCATATTTACAACTAAACTAAACTAAACTTGAAAGAAGTGTAAATTAGGTTCGTGCTAAATACCTAATACTGTCATGGTTCCTCCAACTTTACTGTGAAAAGAGCGTGAATAAGAATGAGCAGTGTAGTGCCTAGAGCAACATAAGCTTGCCATGAAATTAACAAGAATTCAGGATTTTCATATACTCCTAGAAGGACACCAATTTGAAAGGATAATCGAATTTAGCTGTCACCCAATCCGAAACCGCCACGTATCATCTGTTCACGAGGCTTCCCCAAAGAGCCTCCGTGGCTTTTCCCAAATTAATTTGGTTTGTTTTCTATTTATTTTTATTGATACGCATGGCTTCATGGCTCATGCTTCGCGTTAGCTATGTTTAAGTCGTGCTCTTCCGACGAAGACCACATTGCCCCCCTTTCCGATTGTTATTTTTGACGGATTGGGTGGAAGAAATTCGAGTGACCCGGGGGCAAAATCGACTATTCCTATTCCTAATTGGTTGGCCAAATTATTATTATTATTTATCTAAATTTTTCCTAGAAAAGTTGGTCAAAATTAATTTAGGAAGGAAAGTATGGGGATGGATGAACATTTAATAGATGGTGGCAATAATTGACATGGTTGCGTTTGCCGAAATATGGGAGCATTTATTATGAGCATTGTGATTTTTTTTATTTATTTATGGAAAAGCGTAGATTTAATTTATGTCGACGTTAGTTTTTTTTTTTTTGGACATGCTCTGGTCGAAAACTTAGAATTAAAAATCATTTTGCTTTTTGGGCGTTTTTTTTTTTTTCAAAGGAATCTTTGTGGATTCCTCCGCTTTTTGAAGAAAAACTACTTTTTGAAAATGGTGCGTTTTATAAAGTCTAAATCATACGACTTTGCAGCGAGCGAACGTAGTCTACTGCTGCTCGTCATGTTTTGTTCTTGATGGACAGTGGAAAATGTCGACATTATGGCCGAAAGACAAAATTTACAATGACCTCCCATTTTCTTTATTAGCTTTTTATATGATGATTTCTTCTTGTGTTGTATAGTATTGTCTTCTTGTAATTTATGGTATGATATTTGTCAAAGCAAAGCAACTTATAATATTATTAAAATTTTCACAACACCAATTCTCACGATTCAACCTACCTCATAAAGTATTACCGCTTACCATAAAAGAAATGAAAATATCTTATCTCAAACTATAGAAGGTAATATATTCTTCGTTTCAATTGTTAAAAGGAATTTGACCCAAAAAAAATTGTTAAAAGGAAAAAGAACATTATCAATTCCCTCACATCATGAAGGAAATGGTTGTATCTACTTATTTATTTATTTTTTCCAAATCATGAGTGGATTTTCCAACTTTTTGGTCGGCCAGACACGGCCATTTGCATTGTAGCCCCAGTAAGAGGCGGTGAACAGAGCCTTCGACCAATTGATCTTCACTCGTCCGCCTTGTGTGGCCCAATCTTCAGCGCTCCATATAGTCACGTACATCCTCATCGGTCGGTTGGTCGGGTATCGCACTCCCTTCAATCCCCAGTTGTTGTAAACCCTAATAGGAACTTCAACCACCAAAATCTGGCCATCTTTCAGAAGCAAATGAAATTTGACATTATTGGGGTGCCTCCATAATTTCTTAAATAAATTTGATTATTGTTGGTTAGGCAGTACAGTACAAGCAAGAAATATGCGAACCATATGTTATTCTTGCAATGTTAGAACTTTTGAAGAAAAAATTTGTACAAGGGAGAGACGTCATCTTGCATGATGTTTTTAGGGTTTCACACATTTGAGTACAAATGGAAGTCCTTCGTGGGATCGAACCACTGAAAGAACTCCTATTCCTTGCCTCCTTTCCCTTGCAGGATTTTGTTCATGTGGACAATGTATGGATCTCCTGATAAATTGCCCAATAACTCAAAATCGATCTCGTCAAGGGTTGGTCCTTGAGAAGACAACTGCAATATTGGTTAACTATTGTCGCAATAGTATTGTTGTTGCATGAATAAAGGCTGTGGTTGATGAGAAATACGTATGTACGCACACATAAAATGTGGTGATTGTGCCAGCAGAATCTTCCGGGACTAATTTCATCCTCATGTTGAACCTTCCGAATAGATACTCGCTCTTAAAATGCTGGAAGTAGAATTCTAGAAATAGCATAGTAATACTCTCTATGAATATGAAATGCTGGAGACATGATATATTTCTTGAAATCTTTAAACCCTAAATATATATTTTGTAAATTGGATATCTTACATTGTTGTACTATGTTAAGAGTTTTTCTAGGGTTTATGCTAGTGGAGCATCTCCAATTTCCAAATGACTTTGAAAAAAAAAATACTAGGGCGAGTGATGACAATCCCCTTTCTTGCTTGCTTTCTGCATCATGAAGCATTAATACTACCTCACAAAGGCTAAAAACTGCTACCAATACCACTCTCCATGTTGTTCATCTGATTGCCAGAAGGATCCGCCCACGTGTCCAGGTCCGAGTAAACCAAGTCATTCATCACATCACTCTTCATCGGTTTGCACTCGCAGATGGCCCCCAGCCAAGGCAGCTCCACTACCTTCTCCAGTATGTCCCCCAGCTCTTCCAGTCTTGATACATTGTCGGTGCATGACGACGACAACAAGCATGAGGAGTAAGAGGACAACATCCTCAGTGTGGAGATAGGTGGTGACAATGCGTCCAAAGACGACGGTGTGGCGGCGTCGGCAGAGGCAAAGAAGCTGGTCATGGAGGCGGACTTGGTAGCGGTGGCCTTGACATCATCGCGGGAGGAGGACTTGGCGTGGGGGAGGAAGGGGGCCAGTTCGAGGAAGTTGAGGATGGAGGAGTTGTCCTTGATTGCGAGGGCGGCAGCATCGTGGGCACACGTTGCCATTTCGGCAGTGGAGAAGCTGCCTAGCCAGATCTCGCTAGGGTTCTTTCCCGGCTCGTGGATCCATGACACCCACTTCCCCAGCTCCGCATTTGCACCCCTTTTGTACACTGGGTGCTTGCAATTGCCCCAATTTGTCGACTCCGGCATCGTAGGCTGCTGCGCGCTCGGCAACGACCCCGACGGCCAGGGGCACGAGCTGACGCTGAAGGACTTCGGCTCTGAGTTCAGTGGTGCCGCCATAGACTATTTGGTCTCGGTTCTTTTTGTCCTCACCGACTCTCTCTATTCACGGCTTGACTTCAAATGGATACCTCTCTTTAATAATCTCCATTTATCTGTTTACCTGTTACATGGTAATGATCATATTCCCTCTGCATATTAGATCACTTACCCGAACGCGTGTTTCTATCCCTTGTTGACTAAAACTTAACTTCTTTGCACGTTTCTTGCACTTTTAATAATAACAGCTCTTTAAGCGAGTACAGGTGCAAGGATTGAAACTGACAAGATTAATTATCTTAGCATGCATCACCCATCTTCACAAACCACTCTCTCGACACGAGGCGAATGGGCTCCAAGAACAGAAAAAAAGAAAAAGAAAGAGCTACATAAAATCTAAATAGGCCATTTCTTATTTCGATTGAGGCCAAGAACTAGAGATGGGTGGAGACTAGGGAAAACGGTAATTTTGAAAATTATGGGTTAATTGGCATACATGACCAACATTAAACGGCGTATTCAATAATAGTAGATGGAGACGGGACCATGAGAATAGGCTTAACCCTCCCTCTTGTCGAGGACAAGGCTGCTCTTTGCTCCATCCCTCTATTTAGTGGGTATTCACATGAAAAAGAAGCCATCCATCTAGGCAACAATTAGACACAAATGCAAACATATTCCATGAAATGGATTAATGAACACTCAATAAATACAATACTCAGTTAGCACCTGCCGTCCTATTAGGCAATTTCAAGAAATGGATTCACAAACACTTGTTATGAACACGTTTTGTTTATTTTCTTGGTAACTTTGCCGCCCATGATTCCATATGCTTTTCCCGGGATTCGAACCTTAGACCTCGCCCGATCCCTTCCTTCTTTTCTATTAGGTTGTTCAGGATCGCAACTTCGCAAGTATACGAGATACACTGTCTTTTCGAATGAATAATAAATGTCCTCATATTAACTAACTTACAGCTCGAAAATCGGCGAAAAAGAAGTTCTAATTTTATAATTTGAGAAAGGAAAGATCGACCATCAAATAACGATTTCAATATAAAATACTAACGCAACCAATCATATCGCGATGCCTTTGCAAAATCATCTGGACGGTTTAATCCGTAACCACTCGTTGAATCATTATACGGCCTTGCTACGGATGGAAATGGATGGCGACTCACTTTGCTTGACCTCTTACATTAATGAATCTAACATTTAAAAAAATAACCCCTAATTCTCGGCGTCCCTAAATAATTGTCGAACTATCGGTCTTTGGAGAAAGAAAAATTAAAATCCGACAAAAAACATTAAAAGGTCACAAACGACATTATCGTATGATAATGTCGGGGGGCAGGCGGGTGGGGGACGGCCAATAAAAAAAAGGGGGGTGTACGATTTCCATGAGTTTCCGGGCATTATGCAAGAGAAGAGATTACCTCAAGAGACTGCGAAAGGACATTGCAGCAGTACTTGTTTGATTTTTTGGCCGAACTGCAGTGTTTTTTTTTTTTCTTTTGGGTCAAATCACAGCAGTTCTTGATTCGATAACTAGGTAGTGTTAGACTGTTTAGTACTCAAAGATAACAAAGCAGCATCATTGATCCCACACCAGTATCCTCTCTCTCCTCCCCTCCTCGGACCCTAGTAGCCGCTGCACAGTGGTCGTTTCTGCATGGGAGAATGTCGGTGGGGAAGTGGGACCCACAAAGAGAGACAGAGACCGAGAGAGGGAAAGAGGTCTTCTTTAACGAGAAAATATTGGGTACCACTAGGGATTCCGGAGAAATAACAAGTCTTAGGTGGCGACACATGTCCGAGGGGACCCACATGTCAGGAAGGCTTCCCGGTGGATGAGCTGAGCTGAGCTGAGAGCAGAGCAGCTGGGAGAAAATTTTTAAAAAACAGCCCTCTCTCTCCACACTCACTCTCTCTCTCTTTCGCGCTCCCAATCGAATTCAAGATCTGGAATTCGCTCTGCGCTCCGTCTCCCTCACGCCGACGAGCGAGGTCCGTCTCCTCGCCCCGACGCCGACGCCGCCTCACTCCGACGATTTCTCTGTCTTGCAGTTCGAGCCACGAAGCTTGGAGCAGCGGGAGCGGACAAGGCCCATATCCACAAGTGGCGCTCCGGAGTTTGGAAACCAAGCTTCCGAGATAATGCTTCACGAGTGAGTCGCGCTCCAATCCCCCTCCCTCCCTCCTTCCTCCTCTCTCTCTGCCCTTCTTTCCTTTTTTTTATGTGCTGTATGGCGAGTCGCGGAGCGAGAGCTCTCCTCTCTCTTCCCAAGCGCAAACTCAACGTGTCGTCTCCTCTCCTTCGACCGCCGCTGCCGGCGCACGGTCTCTCCTCTTCACCGGATGATGCACCGTCGAATCTTGGAGTAAGCAAAGCGAGCTCTTCGTCCTCCTTCTCATCCTTCTGTCGTACAAACCGCTTCAGTGTTGTACAGAACTAAAGAGATACGTTGTTTGTGGACGTTTGAGATAAAAGGGTGGCTTCGTGCTTTTGGGTTCTAGAATATCAACAAGATATGCTTATGTGAGCCAGTAATGAAGTCCTTGGCCTCGTTTTCTCTGTCTTGGTTCATCTTTCAATTGGGTACCGCTTGTTGCATTGAATTCTAATCCATGATTGGTGATATATAGTCTACTTGAAGAATATCAGACCTTTATGAACTGTGAAGTTGGTAGCCACAGTGCAGAGTGATGTTCAGTGGTAAAAATGAATAAGGACCCTCGAGTTTAGTGATGGTCTGTGGTATTACTACCCTTTGTGCTTGCAAGAAGTCTGAGTTGGCAAAAAGACTGGATGCCCTGCTTGTTTGCTTCTCCCGTGGGAGAGTTGGATCTTGTTCATATGTGCTGCCACAGCATCTTTTTGGTTTTTAAGTATGCTCTATCGAGCCATAGATTTCAAGGACTTTTGTTTTTGTTTTGAGTCAAGAACCTTAATCCATCATCGTCATGGTTTGCTCAATTTTTAGCTTCAACGATATCTCAAATATTGCCCTTTTAATTTACCATGTCCAGCTAAATCATAGATGGGGTTTTCCATGGTTAATTTCATATGACAGGTATGGTTTATAGCTTTTAGCTCTTGTTTGTTTCTGCTGAATTTGCTTTTACATTTACAGAATGTTGGCTTCATAGGCTTGGGAAATATGGGATCCAGAATGGCGAAGAATCTTGTTAAAGCTGGATACAACGTCGCCGTGCATGATGTGTAATGTTTGGGATTCTGTGAATCTAATAATCTGTAAATGCATTTCCTCGAAATGATAATACTCCAAAATGATCTCATTATGTTGCTATTTTGAGCTTCCAATGCTTTGACATTAACTGATTAGCTAGACCAACAAGGAGATGAATGTGTTATGAGCAGATTAGGATCAGAATCTTGGTTTATTCACATCCCTTAGGAGACGTTCAGAGAGTTCTCACTAGACGGAAGCTTATCTTTATAAGTAGTGTCCAGACTATCCTTTGACTTTCCCAGTAGCATCACCTTTTTCAATTTTGTATTCATGTATAATGGAACATTCTTGCAATCCAATTATTGTGGAGCATTTAGTGCCCATTTGTGTAAGTGAAAAAAAATTATTCCTTTCAGAAATGGTGATGCCATGAAGATCTTTACTGGCATTGGAGTCCCCACCAAGAAAACACCCTTTGAAGTTGCAGAAGAAAGTGATGTAATAATGACAATGTTGCCGTCATCTTCCCATGTAAGTTCTAAATTTTGTCTTTTATGTTTGTCCTTTTCTTGCAGTAGCCTTTCTGTCATCACAGTTATATTACAACTGCAGTTAATCTTTACGATTGTTGTATAGATTTTAAATAGAGAATATTGTCTTGGTTGTAGTTCTGATATGAACCAGGAGTTGTGAATTGAACTGACCAGAAAGAGGGTAAATGTTTCAACCTTGGGAAATAATATGTCTTAATGCTCAGAGGTCCATTCTTTCCGGCTATAAGTGATCTTATATTCGGTGGGAGATCATTGGCATTAACATATAGGCTTGGGTATTGATGAAGAGGTCCTGTTTTCCTATTTGAGGAGCACTTCAATTACTTTGGACTCATGTTAGGCATTAACTTTTTTATTTCATGCATCAATCGTAAGTGTATGCTAGGAGCATGCCGTACCACGGAGAAATGTATTTAAATCAATTTGCTCGGCGTGTACGTTGTTTATCACTGTGATTGTGGAGCCTTTCTCATAAAATTTGCCAGGTGAAAGACATATAAGGATAAAATTGAATAATCTATCTATACGATTAATGTAGGTATTTGATGTATACACTGGACCGAATGGATTGCTTCATGGTGGAAATCTCCTAAGACTGTGGTTATTGATAGATTCTTCTACGATTGATCCCCAAACATCGAGAAAGATTTCAGCACTTGTGTCTAACTGTACTTTAAAAGGGAAGAGAGGTAACGGGAAGTAAACTCAGAAGAGTTATCCTTTAAATAAAATTATTGCTTGTAAGTGTCATGCTTAATAGCCCATTGTTCCATCAAGATTATTTCCCAAATAGTGTGCAGTCCTTATTTCCTGAAAACTGCTTGACCGTCGTCGTCATCGTAACGTCCTAAAAATATGATTTACCAGGATATATGATTATTGCTATGGAGGCATACTTATGCCACATCTCCATGTCTATTTGCAAGAACATGCACTCTTTCAGTGATATTTAATGGAATGTATGTGGTAGTTATCGGTGCTTTTACTAGGACTTAATACTTTGGATGGAACGCCACCATTCTCACCATCCCCATAGTGTATGAGACAAATGGATGAGAAATTTAAGGTTTTCTTTTTTGTCAAAATAAGACTTGAGCATGTAATGTTCCATCAGGATTATCTTTGGAGGATTAAAATGCATATATCAACCCCTCCACAGATTCCTGCAGTGCAGGAAGCCTTGTGCACTTAGACGCCTTTTTTAATTGCTGTAATAAGTAGATATGGCATCTCAGACTTGGAATACTCAGATTGTTTGATGCAGGGCAAAGGCAACTACATACCTTGTATTAAGAAACTGAAGATGTATATAAGTCATACACATTCTATTACTGCCTTTTGAACATCATCTTTTGGTCCCAGAAGAATTGGTAGTTGCCCCCTTTGGATTTGTTTCTCATCTTTGTTTCTTGTGTTATATGTATATGCTGTACAAGCTTATATGTTGTAAATAAATAGATGGAGGTGGAGTTCCTATGATGCTGGATGCACCTGTTTCTGGAGGTGTTCTTGCTGCTGAAGCTGGCTCACTCACGTTCATGGTATACTCAGTATCTGCAATCGATAGATTCTGATATGATTATAATAGCTCAAGAGTATGAACTTGCTTTTGAAAGCACTCAGTTAAGAACTCTCAGTTGGTGTTTCTTTTGCTTTGTGCATGTAACTCTATTTCGATGAACATGAATTGATGGAAATATTTAACCATAGCTGCTCATGCTTTGGTTTCCAGAAAATAGAACCTTCATAACCACAATAATTGTGGGATCACCTACTTTATTCTCACTCATGTCAAGATTATCTCTTGTGGCGTCTTAGAGACAAAATTTCACTCGAAAAAGCTGAGAATCTCCACAATGGAATCACATAATCATATCTCCTGGTAATCATATTTTTTCTGTGAAATAAATGGATTAGTTAATACAGAAGCCCATAAGCAATCGTGCCTCCCTTGTAAAGTTTAAAAAAGAAGTCCTGGCCATGGTTTCTTTATAGTTTGAATAATTGGTAAATACATTCCTATTGATAGAGTTACTATTAGCTAGCTGAGATTTTGGTTAATATTCCAAAATCAAAGTTTGGTTTCTGTGGCCGTCTTAGATATTGCATTTTAGTGTACTGAATGAAACTAAATGCAGCAATACAGCTTATAGAAACAGCAGGGATTGGGAAGATAGTTAATGAATTTTCCGTAGTTTTGTGGAAAAGCGATTGCCTCAACACCCTAACTGATGCACTTCTCTTGAATGTTCTATTCGTTAAGTAACATGGCATTTGGCAGGTTGGTGGTTCAGAAGAAGCTTATCTGGCAGCAAAGCCGTTGCTCCTCTCCATGGGTAAAAGCACAATTTATTGTGGTGGAGCAGGAAATGGTTCGGTGAGTTCCATCATTATTGGTGCAATGACTCATAATCTGTGTGCATCTACGGGAAAGTGTTAATTCATGTACTGCTCATGGATGGTACAAGCCTCAATAAGTATTCAGTGACTGCAAAAGGAGAGAAACATTGCGAACAATTTTGAAAGTTCCTTGCTTTCTTTATACCACTGCTAAAGCTGGAATTGGTTGTCTGATTTGCCGCATAAGAGGATGTTGCCACTTATGGGCTGAATACTGATGCTTATACACCTAAAGCTTGTTGTCATCAACAAATAAGATTGAGATGGGGGTTCCCCTTGGTATCAATACATATTACTAATCATACTCTGAAGGTAGAATTTCGCTTGGTTGCTGCTTTAGTCTTGCTTTCACTTAATATGGTTAGTGGCTAGTTCTACTTGGTTTGCATTTACCAAGTTCTACCTTGCATTAGAATAGAATATCCATCTTGTCTTCTGAATTAATTCATAGCCATATCTGAAACTGAAAGGTTGATAAATGCTTAGTGTACGAAAGACAACTGAAATCAAATTGAACAAGACATCAGCAAAGCATCTTCTTGAGCTCTTAACGACATGCACTACATTTTTCTAGTATTCAATACCCGAAGATTTTGACAATTTTGTTCCATTGACTAAACTGATATCAGTTTCCAGAGTTCCTCAATGTTTTAGCACACATCCGTCATATGACAACATATATTGAAGAGACAATAGAAGTACAAAATTTGACCAAATGTAGTAATTGTTCACAATTACTCTCGCCAGCCTTTGCCTGCTTGTAATACTTTCAATGTCCTTTAATCTTTAGGCAGCAAAAATCTGCAACAACTTAGCACTGGCTGTGAGCATGCTTGGTGTATCTGAGGCACTTGCTCTTGGTCAGTCTTTGGGAATTGCTGCAAGTGTTTTGACAGGAGTGTTCAACTCTTCAAGTGCTTGATGTTGGAGTAGGTACTATTTGGTCACTTTTCTGTGGCACTAGTAGGGTTTATTGTGGCTTCTCTTTCTCCTGCACTTTTTTTTTTATCTTCAAAGGCTTGTAGTCATTTATCCACAGCATTTAGATGTGGCTTGGAGATATTGTTGGTGTTGAGAAATCATAAGCCGCTGTAATGTGTTTTGCAAGTTTGAATGACGGTGTCCTCTCTCTCTCTCTCTCTCTCTGTTTTTTTTCCTTTATAAAAGTTGTAGTAATGCCCATGGAAAATGACTTAGGTGAAAAAGTGGGGTATGCCATTCGTGTTGAGGATGTGACTGGGCCAAACACGGTAATTAAGGTGAGACTGTTTTCGATTGTCAAGAGCAAATTCTTTAGGATACTATTTTTTTAATGCTGACTTTTCTGAAGTAGTGTTGTTGCTTTTAATCTGGGACATATCTCAAATTTTGTTGGTTCCCTGATAAATTATAATCTATGCCTTTTCGTTTTGGTTTTGTGCTCCGTCATGTATAATTGTTTTTTTTGGTGGTCACTACCGTGTTGCAGTACATGACAGATGGAGTGCTTTTCCGTGAAACACTGAAAGATTCCGACCTTGAATGGTACCAGTATGACAATGTATGAGCAACTCTGATCTATTACTTCTTGTTAAACTGGGTTGGAGTGGATTTGTAAATGTATGGAGAATAACCTATGCAGACTCAGGTTCTTCAAGCAGAGCCTTACATTTTGTTGTTTTTACTTGTTTCAGGGTTATCGTGATGGATGAAGCACATGAGAGATCACTGAACACTGATGTTCTCCTTGGGATATTGAAAAAGGTGGTAGCTTGAGGTCGCGATTTTAAGCTCGTTGTAACATCTGGTACTTTGAATGCACAAAAATTTTCAAACTTATTTGGCAAGTAATAATCACATTTTATGCTCTTGATGGGCAATCAGTTAGGTTGCCTAGATGAGGTTTTGACAATTGTCTCGATGCTCTCGGTGCCGTCTGTATTTTTCCAGCCAAAAGATAGAGTGGAGGAGAGCGATGCTGCAAGGGAGAAATTTTTCGTTCCGGTATCTGGCCACTTAACACTGCATAATGTCTATCAGTAGTGGAAAAGTAAATAGTACAGAGGGGATTGGTGTAATGATCACTTTTTGCTTGTCAAGGGCTTGCGGAAGGCTCGAGAAGTGAGATCTCAATTGCTGGATATTCTCAAGATGTTGCGAATCCCATTAACTTCAAGTTGGCCCGACACAGATGTCGTTAGGAAGGCCATCTGTCTCTGCTGGAGCATATGAAGAAGCAGGAGGAAGAGAAGACAGCCATGGAGGAAGAAATGGAGAACCTGAGGAGATCGCAAAACTAACCACAATATATCGTAAAATTATAAGTCTAACTGCAATAACTCATCTCGCACTGAATATATGGGGAGATACTGCCTTTGCTGTGTAATAGTATTTGACTTCGCAAATTCACTCACCGCTTCACCCTTTTTCATGTGCTATGCAAACTTTGCCTTGTATTTAAAATCTACCTCGCCTCGTTCCCCAACTGCAGTAGTATCAGCATCATTCTAGTTTTAGAAAAATCAGCTTTCAGGCAATGGGCATTATTACAGCAACTTTTATAAAGAAAAAAAAAGAGAGAGAGAATTATCGAGAGAGCGCGACCAATGAACAGTGTGCGACCAGCGGCTTTTAGGCAGATTTTCGTCGGGTTTCGGCTCGATTTTGGGACTGCCAAATTAGAATTCTTGTAGTGCTACGAATGAGCTTTCTTTTAACTATAAGCTCGCTTGGAACGGAGTTTAGTGGAGAAAGTTATGACGCAACCAACTTTCGTGCTCAAGCTCCGCGTTGCGGATAATTTGGCTAGTCTTTATGTCCATTTGTGTTATTCGAGTGGCGAAGTCCAATTTTTGAGTCATTGAGCTGCGTATATATATAGAATTGATAGTTTAGGGTATTGCAGGACCGTGGGATTTTACGGAACTCGATTTGGACTTACGGTTTGCTGGATATGAATTTTTGAAGTTGAGAGCGCGCAGTGAACAGTGCGTGACCAGTGCTCCCAATCCGTGCAAGGAACATTGAAATTAAGATTGTAGAGATATACAAAAAGAAGACACTAATATTCAGACCTCAAATGTGGAATTTATTTACTGAAAAAGAAACAACCACTTTCTTCCCACAAACAGAATGCAATGTCGACAAATACAAAACACGTTCACAATAACACATTATGGCAAACTCATGACATCCTTGACCTTCAAATTTCCAAATAACATGTGAGCTACTATAAACATCGACAACACAGTTTCTTCAATCTCGAATTTTCTTTCTTCAGCTTTGCCGCATCTTGTTTCTCACGTTTTAGCTGTGCCTTGAGAGTTTTGACTTTAACATCCATCGAATTGCCATCATCCTCATTATGAGTCGACACTAGTTCTTCTTCGACATTGCTTCGGTGAAAATTTTTGGACACACTCATTGCCGATTGACTGGTTTCCACATCAACCTAAATAAAAAAACTGCAATTTTCCCCTCTTGTTGTAGTTGTATCTCGGGCAGCCATGATATCTTCTCCCCCAATTGTCTTTCATCCTTGTTATTCATAAAGGAGATTTCAGGCCATAATAGCAAAATAGATATGTATCGTTGTTAGTTGGAGGAATCGACGTCATTGACAGTGACAAATTCGCCGATCCCTTCATTAATTCGCTACACATTCTGAAACTTCAAAATTGACCAAAACTTGAACACAAACTTCAATAAATCCATGTCAAGAATGCTGAACGGTTCTTAATTCAATGATCCACGATACCTAGCCAGAGGAAATAAGGTCACAAAGTCAACACCACCATAGTATTTCCAAAGTTCAGCTTCTGTGGACAACATAAGCTTTCTAATTCATATCTCTGCTGTGTTTCAACTATAAAATGGATTATACGCATGTCAGTTCACTAAAATAGAAGACCCACAAGTCCTCTGAAGCTAAAGCCAATATATAAACTAAATCGACAAATTCTAAGAGAATTTCCATGCCTAAAGCAAAACAAAGTTATTTGGAAAAGAGACATGTAGAACTACTAGAACCCACATCTACACCACGAGTAGCGTTTCCAGCAAGAATAACAATGGCTCTAAACTGACCATAAAAAGAATAAAAAAATAAAAACAATGGCTCTAAACTGTTTATATATTCTTCAAGTGAACATTATGGGGCTGCTTTAGCCTAACGAAGCACGTCTTTCTCGGAAGCTCCTCGCCGGAGAGCCTCGTCAAGATTCTGCTGGGCTTTGAATGCCGCAAATCCATTTCTTCTGAGTGCAGCAAAGAATTCACAGGAAGAGAGCGAATCAGCAAAAGTTGGGAGTCATGAAAACAAAAACAAAAAATAAGATTCCCAGCACATACAAATGCAATAAATCTTCACCTCACTTCAGTCTCCACACAAAACATAACTATGGAACTATGGATTACATAAGGTGCACAACGCAACTTGTCAAGATAACAATTATAAGCAGAATAATTTCTAAATTTCTTAGACCACATGGTGTATATGTTAAAACATAATACAGAGGAACTCATTATTGAATTAGATTAATGAAGAAATAGCTATATTGAATAAGCTGCGCAGTGCAAAGATAAGAGCAGTCACAATCAACAATGAAGACCAACACCACCAAGACCTGGATCTGAAAGAAGTTAAGATGCCTTTAAGCAATGGCAATTCTGATTCCAAGAAAAGGAATAACAATCTCCATGGTCCATTGGCCGTTTCCTTAATTTACATACATGCAATATCTATGTGATGTCCATCATTGAACACAATATTGGTGATCAGACACTTCAAAACATCAAGCAGACAACACATGCAAACAAAACCCATATGACCATTTGAAACCCACTCGACCAAACACGTATCTTCCTGTTTGTTGCCGTCTTTGTTTTCTAAGTCCACTTTTTCAACTGATGCCGAGTTAGGTACGTGTTATTATTTTCAGGATCATAAACATAATAACTAACTAGTTATGTCAATCAAATGGATAAAAGGAGCTTGTCAAAGGCTCTAGAAATAGCTTTTAACTTGTCTTATGAGACATTTACTTCTGAAGGTCTTTTAAGAGCAGACGTTGTGATAACCTTTGAAATTTAAGAGATAACGGGAGTCTAATCAAACTATGGTGGTCCACTCAGCATTAAATAGGAAAGTTATTTCCATTCAAGATGAAACAAGGTTGGAATAGCAAGAGGACTTGGCATAAAATATTTTACCAATTGCTTGATGCTCAGTCTGAGCCTCCAGCCAATGCTGCTCAAACTGAATGTTGGAGAGAGCCTCCTCCAACTTCCCTATCTGTTCCAACAAGGGGTTGATATGCTCTGCAGATACATTCACAACAGATAAAAAAGAGTTACACATGGTACGTTCATAAAGTTTTCAATAGACAATAAAACAGAAAAAAAGCAGAGTCCTACTGTCCTTTGCAGTTTGCATGGTGATCGTAGTATGCAAAATGGCCAACATGTACATCAAAGTCGATGATTTCATGATAAGGAGACTTGTTAGTAAAGCAAAACCGATGAAAACCCTTATGGTGAGCCATACACTGAAATTTCTCACTGATCTTGTCATGAGAATCTTGAATCTGATTACCAGAAGATCCTTTCACCTGGCAATTTCAAAGGTTGCAAAGAACGTACAGTTATCTAGGTCATTGTCAAAGGATTAAAGATCGATAAGCACAATATTGACAGAATTAAGGAATTCGATAATCAATACATGACTTTAATTCAAAGCATGTCCTGACAAACATGAAAAACAAAAACTAAATATGCATATGCGAGATCTAGTTGACCCATCTAGGCCGCCAAAGGCTAATAAACTACACTGAATAATCTCCTTTAGGAAGATAATCAGCATCCCTAAAAAAAAAAATGTATATTTGAGTATAGTATTTCTTGTACATTACGTTCGATCCATTAACCATGTGCTATTACGTCTGACCCATTAACTATGTGCTATTAAGAACTCTCGCCTACTTTCCGAGATTAAGTGCATCACAATATATGCAGCCAAGTAACTTCCAATCAACAACCTCAGAATTACCCAAAAGAACCGATGAGCATTCTAACACGCCTATATTGGCTTTACCCCATCTATGTCCTGATATCCAAGAACCAACATTTTGTTTATAATATTTTCAAGAAGGGATACACAAACATAGTGTCAACATTTGCCGAAAACAGTCACAGCAATGCCTCGTATGAGGCAGCAGAGACTAATAAGAGGTCTAGGCAAATCAGAGCTCAACCTCAAATCCACCTATTTTGTAATTTGCAAATCCAAGCTCAACCTCAAATCGCGGGTAAACAAACACCCACCAAGCAATACACTTCAACTCTACCTGGGGCAAAGGAACCCAACAAGAGCAGAACCCGGAAAAACCGTTCTTCTTCAGAGTCCTGAGGCAAACACAGAATAGAACAACCTCAACATACTCGCACGACTAAACATAATGTAGCTCATCTTCTGTACTAGACCCCAAAAAAAGAAAACTTCCTTCCTTATTTTACTTTTAACAAAGACCCAGATAGTAACAAAAGCAAGCTCTCTCTCAGAACACGATGTGAATTACATCGAGTAATACCTCCTTGGTGAGCTATTGTTTACACGCATAACCTTCGATGATTTATGGTCAGTGGAAGAAACCAACTCTTTCCAAATAGTCGATGCAGTACTACAAGCACAGTTAACAACCTATACATAAATTCTCTTTTACCAGCCGAAAGTAAAATTTCTATTGCAACGTGCCTTGCTAGTATTTGCCAAAACCAATCACGCAAAAACATAATGATGAGTTCGCATTTGATAAAATATCTATGGAGTAAATGACCATGCGTTGTTGCACTATAATAACTTTCCAGTGTGTCTGCAAATTCAAATGTCATCACCTTCTTTGCACCAAGCAAGGCCACACGAGATACAAGATTTATAGCAGCCAACTGTCCGCCCTGTATCCCAACAAACATAATTAAATAAGTCAGATTTTCAATCTCCTTGTAATTATTAGTTCAAGCGCCATGCCAAATAAATACAAAATTTTCATTAACTACAGCGCAAAACCTTAATTTGCTAGGTCATTTATAAAGTGAGTATAGAGACTTCAAGAGAATCATTCAATTATGAAGGAGACCCCCTGCATACTCGCTGCATGCTTTGTCTTCTAATTTACTCAATTTTGATCCACAATTGTTTATCCCATTGGAAGAAGGATAACGCTTCTTACGCACTTTCGCTTCTTACGCATATATTCCACAAGCATTAGATCATCCAGTAACCAAATGAACAGGATGTGTATTCTATTTCCATGTCGTGAGGACTTGATGAAGTTAATGACAATACAAAATTTGCCAAGCACTTACTTTCTTGACAACTTCCTTTCTTATCTGATAGTTAGCAGCTTCTATGAGGACTTTCCCCAATAATCTTCTTGCAATCTACCTTAAAGAGGAAACTAGGTTAAAACATATTAAATGGACCTAGTGAAGGAAAGATTCTCTTTGACCAAAAAAAAAAAGTAAAGATTCTCAGGTGAATGGTGTGCTTACCAGCTGAGAAATCTTTGCCAAAGTAATCAAACCTCCCCCCTATGATATTGAAAAGGAGGAAAACAAAATTGAGTTGGTAGAAGTATGGAAGGACTAAAAGGGTAAAGAATAAAGATCACGAAATAAATGCAGGCATAAAAATGGATAAAAAAAGAGGACCTTAAAAATCAGGGAACGGAGTTCTCTTGCCCCGAATTTTGAAGCTGCAAATGCTTGAACCTTCTGCTCATCAAGTCCAAGTCCTAGGCTATCTTGCACATCAGAATTTGCAGAGGATTCCCACGTGGGCAAAGAAGTTCTAGATTCTTCACTACATGAAAAGCACCTTACTCTCATTAGAACTTTAAGAAAGGTAAGCAAAATCAACTAGAAGATGTCATCAACCAGGAGATGTCAGACATGATGCAGTAAACCACAAAAAATATATGGAAGAGAGATATAAATTGCACAGTTTCCTGCTCCAATCCTAACAGCAAGTAAGACGGATGAGTCATCAGAGTTTCCCATACTATGAGCCTGCAGTTTTAATCTAAACCAAGTACTGCTCCTGCATTATTTTTAGTGCACAAAAGAATTAGTCCTCTTCCATTAATCGGGAGGTACAGTTTCAATCTCCGAAAGGCACAAAGCACAGAATTAGAGCTGATGACATCCTTTTTTTGTTTCCCTATAGCTACTCAAACGAACAATCGCAACACAAGATAAGATGTTACAATCCATGTATTTAAACAAATCCATGTGATGGACATGCCATTAATCTCCCTATCTCATAAGTGACTATTTACCTACCGAGAACAATCTGCTCATTAAATACTGTTTTGCGAGAAATTTATACCATAGATTAAGATAGATAGAAAGAATACATCAAGTAATCTTGCAACAGATGTAGAAAGATTTCAGCTTCTAGGTCCTCGGTTGAAATTTTAGTTGAGCAAGGCATGTTCAACTTTTTCCTCACAAAAGACCCTAATATTAGATATCGGAAGAAAAGAAATGGTTCGACCTGCTTTCAGTTCCAAGTGTACTCTTTGGCTTCGCGGTTTACCAGAGCAAGGAGAGAAGCAGAGGGCGAGTAGCTTTCACGCTTCCGAGTAGAAGAAAGAGCAACATTCCGCAAGCAACAGGAGAGCAGTTGGTGGTTCATAAATCAAACACCCCTGAAACGGGAACCTGAAACAGAATGAAAGCGATGAGCGAGATGTAACAAAAGCATTCCCCTTTTCCGGCAATGTGGAATACCTGCCCATATTTAAAATCCTCGAATCTCTTATTACCACCAATACCCCCCCCCCCCCCAAGCTTTTGCACAAGCCTGTAACTAACTTCAGCATGATTAAAAGTAGAATAGATTTTTCTGGTTCTGAATACCAAAGCCAAATGGCAACGACAGTAAGGAATAGGTGATTAATTGACTCACGATCTCTTCTATATGTATCTGATAACATGAAGAAGTAAAGCTAACTTTAGAAGGGAATAAAAAACTTTCTGATCTGCTCTTAAGGAAGCTGGAATTGCATGAAACTTCAAAAACCTCGAAAAAGGGCCTGAAGTAAACACACACCTGTTCTTAGATTTCACATCAGCTTCTCTTTATTACTACACTGGATTCTCAACCCATTCAACTTCTAAGTAAGTTGAAATGTGGATCTCTTAAAGATGGTGGAATAGTGAAAAATTTTGGACCCAAAGCAAACATCCGTCATTTCACCTTAAGAACATTGGCTCCAATCCCATCTTTATAGATAGAAATAAGGAACCGGTCTAAAAAGAGTTTTAAGTGCTGGAAATTACGCCATCTACCAAACCAGAACATTGCTTTTCTCCCATCACCCATAGTGAAAGTGGTACTAATCCTTCCTGATATAATTCCAACCTACCAAATCTTAAGAACACCAATTAGTATAGCCATGTACACGACACATGTAACTCTACTAGTACTTCTCACGACTAGTACATGTCTCCTTGTGCATAAACATCCTGTGTGAAGTCTGGTATACAAGCGATGGGGAGTATTAAAGGATGGACCCATTTCCCAACACTTGAGCTTTTGGGCAAAAACAGCCATGCTCACACTTGAAGCAAGAAATAAAGGTGCCTTCATCTAGAAATTTTTGGCATCACTGATGATCATTCACGGGTATATGCACTCTTCCATACTCAAAATGAACATTAACTTCCTGACTTAGAATGATCACTAAGCCACAGGTGATCAGTCCCGTGCAGTGCATTTTAGAAGAACATATGAATCCAGCAGCAACGTCACAATTCTAACTCCTAAATGGTTCCTCATTAACTGCTTCAAGAAAAAGAAGTGAAAGCATATCAAGGCACGCCAGCTATTTCATCCCATTTGTTCATCTAAAGGGACCAGGGACAGTGCACTTGTTTGTAACCCATCGAACACTGGTTATTCTCTACATCAACCGAACACTGTAATTTATGCAGCAACCCAGAGAAGGCTCATAAGCATCCGAAGTAGGTCTCTAGAAACTCCACAATCCAAGATTCCAAACGAGATTTTCAAGATCCAAAATTATTGCCACTGACCCAAACGGTTCTGTGCTAAAAAAAAAGAGAGAGAGAGAAAGAAATGAAGACCCACAGTCAGCCCAGATCCTCTTCCAAACCTTCACTACCAACTATTCTGAAACTGCTCTAGCTCTGAAGCTCACTGAGCATCTAGCTCTGAAGCTCACTGAGCATCCATCTCCGATAAAATAGGAACACTGGAAACAAACTCTCCTAGAGTATCCGCTCACACTTCCATTTCCAAGGCGACGTCCTTTACCACCTTCACAAGCTCCCAATCACTCTTACCCCTCCAAGCACCACTTCCGCAACAAAAGCACGAATACGAAGGAAAAAAAAGCAAGGCTACAAACAAGATGCTCGAAGGGAAGCCGAGAGACACGGACGTCACCTGAAGCTTGTCCCCGGACTGACGAGCCGGCTCGCCGCGGGGGACGACGAATGGCCGGCCCGCTCGAGATGGAGCACGGCCTTCACCGAGGAAGGCGGCGCGGGCTTGCCAGCGGAGAGGAGGCGCGGGAGGCCCTGAAACGGGAGACGCCGAGTCGACGCCTGGCCCACTTGTACTTACAGCAGAGGCCGACGAAATCAACGGAGAAGAGACCACCACCGCTCCCCCATCCACGGCCGTTGGGGAGGAGCACCGAGCTGGGTTTGGCGGCGGAGGCGACGGCGGTCAGAGCTCGGGACCCAGCTGCCCTTGGGCGGAAGGAGGCGACGGCGGAGGTCGGGACCGGCGGGCGAGGGGGCGGGCGAATCGCGAGGAGACAGACCTCGCTCGTCGAAGGCTAGGGGTCGGCGTTGGCGCGAGGAGACGGACCTCGCTCGTCGGAGGCAGCGGACCTCCCTCGTGGGAGGCGACGGCTCGTGGGCAACGGCGGACCTCGCTCGTCGTAGGCGTCGTCGGCGTCGGCGTCGGGGTCGGGCTTCGTCGGAGGCGTCTTCGGCATGGGCGTCGGGGGCTAGTACGGAGGCGGAGGCAAGGGCGTCGCTCGTCGGAGGCGGCTAGGGCGTCGGGGCGAGGAGACGGACCTCGCTCGTCGGCGCGAGGGAGACGGAGCACAGAGCGAATTCCAGATCTGGAATTCGATGGGAGCGCGAAAGAGAGAAAGAGAGAGAGTATGGAGAGAGAGGGCTGTTTTTTAAAAAATTTCTCTCAGCCGCTCTCAGCTCGGCTCGGCTTAGCTCAGCTCTGTGCCGTGGGAGTTATTCCACCGTGAAGCCTTCCTGACATGTGAGTCCCCGCGGACACGTGTCGCCAGTTTTAGACTTGTTATTTCTCCACGGTGGAATCCCTAGTGGTACCCAATATTTTCTCCTAACTTCTTTAACAACTCAAAAGCTTTAAAAATAATTCGCATCGTTCTTGGAGAGCCACCCCAATTCACATGACTTCACCAAAGCTCCTCCACCAATTCACATAATGTGCCGCTCCCCGTTCTAACATTTATAAATTTTTATTGTATACTCTTGCAATTGATTTCCATTTCGATAACTATTTTCTATCTTTTATATAGCTTGACTGATTATTTTTCTTTTGAGACTACCCATGTAAAAATAAAAATAAACAAGTTTTTCATTACAGAATCTATTTTAAATATGAGTGTAAGTGCATAGTACTTATGCTCAAAGATAAGAAGATTTTCCTAGAGCCGGATAAATTAGTGCATACGTGTCAACGTCGGCTGGTCGAGTAGGGGATTCTACGGCCTACGATTAGGGGCCTTATTTTTCGAGGTTATGGTTCTGAAAAAAAAATGTTGTTCGTATCTCGTTATGCATACTAGGGTTTTGTGTGCTGGTTTAGCACAACAAATGTGTTTCACTTTTGCAGGCAAATATGATATAGAATCGAATAGGCGGTGGGAGAGAGTGCCAATCTAACTCTTGGCTTCTTTTTTAGTTAATTAATCAGATGAGACACACATAAATAAAGACAGAGCTCATCACGCTAGTTTCAAACGACTAGTCGGTGACGACAGGGAGTAGGCTAAACGTAACCCATGTAATTGATTCTGTCAATAGAGTGAAGGAGTTCCTTTAAGAACGAGAAATTAGAGAGGCGAAAAGAGAGTTTTCAGCGATTCCATAAGCTTAAACACGGTGCCGGGTGAACTATTAAGACTTTATTACAAATCCCCATCAGTGGCTTAAACCTTTTAAGGAGACGGTCGCGCCTTCAACTCTAATACATGACGAACAACGTCAAGCATACGAAGTGTTTACAAAGGCTCGACACAAATTATTAATAAATAATATCGACTTATATATAATATATATGTATGTATGTATGTAAGTAAATGTGAAAGTCGATATCTGCGGCCCCCGCCCCTCGCGCTCTCTCGCTCTCTTAGCTGATAAAGAAGAGATTGGACGATCACAGTAAGCTTTTCTCGCTATAGCTACGTAGCTCGATAGGCAGCATTACTTTCCAGTAGTCTTCTTCTTTCGCTTGAGCTGTTTATGTTGCACATGTATGTATACGCGTACGTTCTCGCTTTTAATGAGTCTCCGGAAGCTCTGGCTTAGTTATATGCTTTTTTTGCTTCTGTTCATGGCAGTCGCAGAATACCCACCGAAAGGAATGATGGAGGAGACGACCGCATGCTTCGATGCGAACGCCGTACCTGCGCGAGGGGAAGATGTAGCGTATTCACAAGAAGATCAACATCACCATCATCATCAGCAGAATGTTGCCGCTTCCACAGCGGAAGAGGTTGATCGCCATCGCCATTATCAACAACAAGAGCTAATGGGCTTCACAGCTGAAGACGACGGCGTCGTTGATTGCCGAAACATCTCCCTTGTAACTCTGGAAGAAGTGATTTGTCAGGTCGGCTCAGATAACAATGATTATAGCAATATGAACCAGTTATTGCCTTACGATGCTGGTCACTCTTCCTCAAATCTTCCTAAAGAAGGCGGAGAAGGGAATGACAAAAGGGATTCTTCTTTCAAGATTTTGGACGTTCGCTGGAGAAAAAGGTATGATATTTAAAGTGATGAGGTGGCTTGTGTGAAAAAAAAGAGAGAGAGTGTTATGCGTGCATTAAAAAATATCTTCAAATAATCTTTTTGTCAAATATTTAATTTATGCTTTTTTTATTCATCTTGTAGCATGCAGATATTTAATTGAAATTCTGGGGCCGAAATTTGGAGTTGAATAATGCTTTTTAATCTGCTTTCAGTTTGGATAGATCGAAGAATTATTTAGTTAATTGAAACTTGTAATTCGAAACTATATATTATCATAAAACTCGATTAAAGATAAACAATCTTTAATAAATTATATGCCTCATCCAATATGAAGTAATATTCGATCAAAAAGAAAACGATACATGTTTCTATAACTGTAAAAGGAAGCGTATAACCATCATTTCTAGAAAAAGCCTTTAAAAACTTGCTTCGACAATTACCTTTTTCATTTCTTCACCTACTAAGTAAGACTCCAATTGAATTCCATTTGGTGTAATTTACGTTTTCTTATTTCATATATGCACACTTTTAGATGAAATTGTGCATTGAAGAATTCCTTCTATTTAGCTATTGCTACTAGCAAAAGTTGCACACATTTTGTGTATATTCAAAAAATTGAAACTTAAAACATTTTGCAAAATGACCTTGTTATGAAATACTTGAGTTGTTTGTTGATGGAAAGAAGTTATTGACAGAATGTGAAAAAATGTTCCAAAATTTGAATTTTTGCAAGGTTGTTAGAAAAAATTTAAATTTGGAAATTGAAATTACCCATTAATCGAACGAGTCCCTCTCTTTTCTCTCTCCGTCTCTTCCTCAATTTCTCTCCCACCTCTTCGTCTTCAGCAAGTTATTTATGATTATGATTAAATCAAATTGTAATCTATAGTTGAACTATTTATGATAAAATAATAAGTTGTAGAGAATATTAATATAACTAATAAGTTATTTATGATTATGAATACGTCAAATTGTTAAACTAAAATTTATGATAAAACAACAAGTTGTAGAGAATATGAATACAACTAATATTATTGTCTTAGTTATTCGTAATTAGAAAATAATTAATTAACAATATTTTAAGTTACTATTAGTAGAGTAATAAGTACATAATATATTAATATAACTACTATCACGATATTTAGTTTCTTGTAATTAGTTATTGCTCTAATGGAAAAAAAAAAGAGAATATATATTATTATTTTTAATTAATCACGTAAGTAGCAAAGTCAAATAATATAAACGAAATTAATATGAAATTTACATAGAGCAAAAAATATATATCGATGAGATTAACTTTTGATTTTGCACATTGCATGAATGTTCTAAAGTTTGAATTTTCGAAGTTTGTTGGAAAAGAAATTCAAAATTGAAATGACCTGTTAATCAAACAAACATAACCACCACCATCAAACAAACATAACCACCACCCCTTCTCTCTCTTCCATTTCACGCTCTCCAACTGCCTCCGTCCCCTAAGTAGCCTACCCTTCACGAGCCCTTCACGAGCCCTCTCTCAGTTTGCTCTTCATACTTTCTTTTTTCTTTGATTCTTGAAGAAAAGTTTTTTGGGTTTGTGTATAATCCTCTGTTCATCTTCGTCAGTAGGCAAAAGGAAAATTTTTGAAGAGTCTCTCCATATATGGCTGGCCGGGGGAAACATCCACAATCATCTCCTTCTTCCGGTCAAGATGAAACCCGAAACTCAGTGGACTACATCAGCTCATTGCCCGATGCCTTAATCCATCATATCATCTCCTTCTTGACCACAGAAGACACCGTCAAAACCAGCATTCTGTCCAAGCAATGGCGTTCCACTTGGACGTCTAGTCCACATATCACTCTCTATTTTCCCGAGGACCGTATTCCACAATTGCACAACCTTTCATATTCATTTCATTACATGTATTATGACGTGTTAAATTTTACCCCAATTTGGGTAAATATATAGATAAATATTATTTTTCATAATTTTACCAAATTAGATGATATGAAATACTTGATATTAAGAGCTCCTTCCTCGAAGACGGTGAAGAAACGGAAGACTAAGATCGGGCAATGACAATGGGCTTCCTGTTCCACTTACCATCACTTGTGATTGAGATTAAAAAAACGTTTACCACGGTTTGCTCATGATAGAACCAGCTTGTGGTACAAAAATTGAATGGCTTGAGTTAGTTGCTATTGAAGTTCCAGCAAGAAAATATCATGGTCATCCGTTAGGTCAAATTCTTGAAAATCCGATTCCAACATTTTTTTTTAAATCGAAACACATTTTTGAAATCATAGGGTCACGAGGTTCCCGTAGATGCAAAAATCGAGTTAATGGGAAGTCGAATAGAAAAGTTATGGCAATTAAAGTGTGTCCAAATTTGGGTTAAAATATATATAAATATTATTTTTCAGAATTTTTCCCAATTATATGATATGAAATGGACCTTGTAAGATTCGGAGGTTCTAATCATCTAAATTACTTAGCCAAGAATTGTCATCTACGAAAATTATGAACCAGACAAGGCCATAAACCACACATCCCCTTATCCAAGAATTGTCATCCAACCAGTAGAAACAAGTACTTGTAATTTATCAAGAAAAAGAAATGTGTGATTATCGCATGATAAATATATGTTCAAGGAGGCTCACGAAAATGAAGAGCTTCAAATAAGATCAAAAATGCAAAGCACGCATTGAAGTGTAATTCTTTCCTCTCGAAATCTATGTGCCTTAAAATCGGGGAGGAAAAACATAGCGCAACTGCAACACCTAGTGTTATTTGACATTTCTTACTGGTTTATTGTCAGTTCCATCATGCTGAATAAATGACATATACCTTATTGTTGACACCTGAATTTTCGTCGACCATCCAAGCATCCATTTCTTTGGCAAGATTATAAAGATAGAAATTTTCAACAAAAAAAAAACGTTTGGGCCTAATTCATTCGTTGGCCCAATTTCAATTTTATTTTACAGCCCAACCTTTCCTTCACTTTATTTCCTTTCAGCCCATTTATCTTACGGAAGCCCAACCCATTGGCTCTTTTCCCATCTCCTCCTTACGCTCACTTGTGTGAGCAAAGGAACAAGAAGGTGACGAAGAGAAACAGTGACGGACGCCCTTTGTCTGTGAGCGAATCAGAGGTGACCGAAGCAAATCCGATGGAGGTTCTAGAAGAAGAGATGAGCTGGCATGTCTGTTGGAAATAACAAACCAAAAGAGAACGGTTTGAAGAAGGGGCGTAGGATAAAAAGGCGGTGGAAGAGACATATTAAAGAGGACTGAAGAAGAAAAGAGGAGAACAGAGGAAGTTTCGCCGGAGAAGGGTCTTTGAAGAAGAGAGCGTTCGGTTTCTCTACTTGCGTAGAGGAATTCCGGCAAATCTCTTCCCCTTCTTCCATCGTCCGTTCACCGTCGCCGGTGAACAATCCCTGTGAATAACCATTTCGGATATACGAGACATCATTGTTCGTCGCTTCGGAAGCTCGAGTTATTGTTGTTCGTCGGTTCTTCGCCGTGCCGAAAGACGCCTAGTTCCGTTGCGGTCCTGTTCGTAGACGACCGTGAGGACTTCGCGTTGCTTCCAAACCAGACGATCGTGAGGACTTCGCGTTGCTTCCAAACCAGGTAAGACTTCTTTCTCTTATATGTACTGTTTTGGCCGAGAGAAGTTGATTCGATTTTCGAGTTTGTGTGAAAATCGAATGAAATAAGGCTATTTGTTGTAGAATAATATGATTTAGGCATATGTGCATCACTTGTTGATTGAGAATCATATCGAAATCAAATCGGAATCTCGTTTTTCAGATCGCATATCATATGTTCGACAAAATGCTTGAAAGAAGAACCGAATTGATTTTTGTGAAATCAGTGCGTAGAACTCGTTCTTTTATGCTTGATGTGTTCTTAGGTTGATGAATCAATACTGAATCTGTGTTTTTCCTTGATTTTGTGGCATATTCATCATTTTTCCGAGTCGGCCATTGATGGAACCTTCAACGGAGATCCATTCCATTTTTGCCGGAATGATGCCTGCGGTTAGAGGCCGCTTCAGTTAGTCTATCTCACGATTTGATTTGCATATATGTTTCAGTTAACGTGATTTTTTGAGTTTGAGAATTTCTCGCCGGAGTTAGTCCGGCGATGTAGAAACTGTCGGCCAACTAGTGGCCGATGGTCATTAGCCGGCTGCGGTTAATTGAAGTCGACGATTGAAGGTTGAAGTTGATGGTGCTATGGAGTTCGTCGGAAAAAAAGTGTTCTCTGTGAAAACGTGAAATAGCTATTCTCGGCGAAGATGAGGGCGTAGAAAGAAAGCCATCGGGGAAGAAGACCAGAGAAAAGGGAATAAAGAAAATGAAAGAAAAGAAAAACTAGAAATAAAAAATAATAATAAGAGTTGAATATAGTGGAGATGAGATCGCATTCTAATCTGGCTGGAGTGGCTGGAGACTAGGACAAATAAATGGGCTTAATTTTAGTGTGAATGGGCTGAATTTGGAGTTGGGCTAAATGAATAAAAAAAGTTGGAAAACTTGGGCTTGAATTGTTGATAGCCCATCAGAAGAGACCCAAATTCGGACTGGGCCGCAAGAACTGATCCGAATTGCGAGTTTGACTGGACCGTTAGCGTCCGGGTCAAACCGGCTAAGCGGACCGGGTCCGAAGTCCATTTTTCTATAATAAAAAATAATATAAAAATAAAAATTCAGAAAATTCAAAAATAAAAAATAAAAAAATAAAAAATGTGAGAAAAGCTAAAAAATGTAGAATTCTCTTAGTTTGGGACTTTTAATAAGCACTTTTGGCTTGAACAAAAATTGAACCCAAAATTGAATAAGCCTTTAGGGCTTTACCCTAGGGATTCTTTATTGTTTTTTTTTAGAGACGATGCTAGGTCGCTG